GAAGGAAGATGTGATTCTTTAAAAGAAAGATGGTATGACAAATCCAAAGTTTATTATTATACTTGCAATAAGATTTGTCATTACTCATTAGAATATTGGTATAATGATTCTAGCCAAGTTGATGAGAAGACTAACTATGTGAAAAAAGAGAATGATTATATTTTATTACTAGCACAAAAAAAAAGAGACATTTACAATATTAACCTTTGGTACTTAAATAGTGGAGTAAGCAACCATATGTGTCGGTACAAGCATATGTTCTTCAAGCTAGATGAATAAGTCAATAAACAAGTTTTTTTTTTGGAGATTTCTTAAAGGTGGAAGTAAAGGAGAAAAGTAAAATCCTTATTTAAACTAAAAATAAATTTTATTATTTTATTTCTAATACCTATTATATGCCCAACATGAAGATAAATATTTTAATATTATAATAATTTTTGAAAAAAGGATATAATCTATACATGGAGAATAGAACTCTCACACTAAGAAATCAAGGTATGAAGATAATTACACAAGTTCAAATGACCAAAAATATATTATTTATATTAAACATAAAGCATGTTGATGACAAATACTTCAATGCTAGCTTGAAAGATAACTCTTCGATATAACACTTGAGGTTTAGATATCTCAATTTTGGTGTACTCAACTTATTATCAAACAAAAAGATAATGAAAGGACTACCATACATCGACTCTCAAAATTAATTTTATAAAATATATATTCTTCACAAGCTACCATGCAAAAAAAGCCTCTTAAGCTAATCCACACTGATATATCGATGATTTTAGTAAAAAACATGAGTGTACTTCCTAAAGGAGAAATTAAAGGCTTTTGAATCATTCAAGAAGTTGAAAGCACAAGTGAAAAGCCAAAGTGGTACACCATCAAAGCTTTATAATTAGATCGTGGAGGAGAATTCATATCAAAGGAGTTTGAATGCTTTTGTGAAGCATGTGATATTCAAAGACTATTGATGGCACCCTAGTCTTCTTAACAAAATGATTAACAAAATGATATGATGGAGAGAAAGAATTGAACCATCCTCAACATGGTTAGAAGCATGCTACAAAGCAAAAAAGAGATCAAAGGAGTTTTGGGGTGAAATTGTTGTGTGATCTATCTAATAGATGTCTAACAATGAACTTAGAAAACACAACGCTATAAAAAAACTTAACATTTCTTATTTAAGTTTAACATCTCTTATTTAAAGATTTTGGATTCATTACCTATACTTATGGTTCGGGTGAAGGAAAATTAAAATTGGATGACAAAAGCTCCAAATATATTATCATTGGTTATAAGACTCGATTCAAAGCCTACAAGTTATTTGATCTAAACGAACACAAATTATACATGAGTAGAGATATAGAGTATTAGGACAAAGATGTCCTGATACTCTATAGAATTGGAGTATAAATATAATGGAAGTACGAGATGAAGACAAAGATAAAAATAAAGTGATAAATGAAGAGTCCAACCTCCATCATCTCCTGTATTAATCTCATCTTTGGAAAGAAGTCTAACACCAAAAAAGACAAGGAGCATACAAAAATTATATAAAGTGACAAACCAAACCAACCCAATCTTATTTGTCTTTATGCTAATGAAGAAGTTATTTCTTTTAAAGATGTAATTAAAGTGGAGGAAAGCAATGGATGAAGAGATCAATGGCAAAAAAAAGATATAAGAGATCACAACTTTGCCTAAAGGTCATGAACCCATGGGAGTCCAGTGGATTTTCAAAGTAAACAAGAATGCTCAAGAAGAAATTAAAAAATACAAAGCAAGATTAGTAACAAAAAAAATACAAGCAAAAGGTTGAAATTAACTATGATGAGGTACATATTCTCGTTGCTCGAATAAAATTTATTAGATTACTCATCTCATTAGTAGCTCAAAATAAATGATAAATTTATCAATTAGATATAAATTTTATATTTTAAATAATTTTTTTTTAAAAAAAGTTTATATTGAACTACCTATGCAATATATTAAGAAAGGACATGAAAATAATGGTTTAAGATTGAAAAAGGGTCTATATGGGTTAAAAGAAGCTTGAAATGCTAGATTTGATATTTATTTTAAAGCCGATAATTTCATACAATATCCTTATGAAAAATCATTATACTTTAAAGAAGATAGAATAATGTTATATATTTGCTTGTACGTAGATAATATAATCTTTATTGGGAGTAAGCCTCGTATGTCTCAAGACTTCAAGCAAGTCATGACAAAGGAGTTTGATATAACCGATATGGGTTGATATCCTATTTTCTTGACATAGAAGTGAAATAAAACAAAGAAGACATTTTTATTTCACAAGAAGCATATGCAAAACAAATAGTTAAGAGGTTTAAGATGGAAGATGGTAACCTAAGTAGCATATCAGTAGATTATGATATTAAATTATCAAAGAATGATGAAGGTGGATGAAACTCTTTATAAGAACTTGATTGAAAGCTTAAAATATTTGACATGATCGAATATTTTATATGGTGTTGGATTGATGAGCCAATTGATGGAAGAGACTAAATCAACTCATTAAAAAGGTCACTAAAAGAATATTACGTTACATCAAAGGTACTTTCTCCCATGATTTATTTTATTCAAATTCTAATAATTTTTAATTTCTTGAATATTCCAATAACGATTGGGATGTGACATTAATGATAAAAGAAACAAATTTGGATTTGTATTCTATATGAAAAATATTAGGAGCAAACACATCGATTTGAAATTTCACGAACACATTCGTGTCAAGACTCATGATCAAGTGGTTGATATATTCACTAAACCACTTAGAGCACTTCTTAGCACGATGGATAGAAGAAAAATTAAGAAGGAGTGTTGAGACTAAGCTTAATTTAGTTAAATATTATCTTAATTGATCATTTTGGGTGAAGGAAGATTTTGATATTTTAAAAAATATATAAATCTTTTGAAAAATTGAAGAATATATTGGATATGTTGAAAGAAGGCAAAATCATCTCGGAAGATATTGTAAATCTACGTCTAAGAAATTATTAAGATATCTTATACATAGTGTGTGAAGATAAAAGATATTATTTTAAAAGTCGAAGAAATTATAAAGTTTTATTATTAAGAATATATTCATTCTTATACTCTCATCCTCATGAAACAATGACATTATAATGTCATTATAATTATAAGCTTAAACATTTAAACGCATTGATTTGTTCCTCAACCACTCTTCTTTCATGACTCTATCCGAATTCTAACAAAAACAAGTCATGTATTGGGACTTCTCAGACCATGCTGGTGTCCTTCCACTGAACCCTAGGGTTCTTGGGACTGGAGAAGGAATATTTTGCACACGAAATAGACCAGTACCATTGCAGAATGACATGGTACGATTGATTCTGCAAATCTTCTTTATGGGACTGCTTATCCGAACAAGACGAGCACTAGAACACTGTCTTTGATTAGTTTATTGCTGATACTTGTATTAGTTTTCTGAGAGAGGTACTTGGTCATTGACTGCTTCCCATGTAGGTAGGCCATCCAAGATATGCTAGCAGGTAGTAGAGAACCATGGCCTCATCCAGGCTTAGTTTCATCACTCCTGCCATTACTGAAAGCTCCAATATAATACTTGCTGCAGCATCCTTAAGTGGGTGATTAAATGCTGTATGTATATATTCTCCACCACATAATGGAACTTTCTGATTCCCAAAGACCATTATATTTGCTTGTTGAAATGCTGCAGAACTCTCAGGAGTCTGTCAAGTGTTGGGTTGATAAGAAAACATCTCCAACGAGAAGGCAGGTGTTGAGAGGGAAGAAGAAGGCACATAAATCCTACCATTGTTGGATATTCTTCCGACTGAGGTTAAAGAAGAATGCCACCACCCATGAACTGTTCTTTAGCAAAGATGCCAACGATGAACTATTCTTTATCCCCCCCCTCCCCCAGAAGGCAGCATATCTGAGTGGAAATCATATGCTGCAAACAAAAAGCAAGTGCATATAGCTAATCGGCATGACATCTAGTGATGCAATATTTAGGACTGATCTCATTAGTGATGAAACACTGTCAAACACAGTCTTCATGCTTGCACAAATTGTGTCTTCACTCCACCAACTTGAGGAACTCATCTTCTCTGTGAGATCCTTACGACTATGATGTCTGTCAACATATGCAAGACAATGGGTTGCTTATTTCGGATTATACGGCAAGCATAATTCATTCTCAACACACACATATAATGGGAATGTCCATAAGAAAGCCCATAATTTTGAATGGGCTCACTACTCTTCTCTTTTGTAACCTCTGGGTAAGTCATTATTAGAGAGAGAGAGAGAGAGAGAGAGCATTCGTTGTGGTATATCATGAGCTACATAGCTTTCCTGGATTACAGTTCTTGGTGGGTTCCTTGTGGTGGATTATGAGAGCAATGTTTGGATTTTGCTTGAGAACAAATCATCTAGGAATTTACAGGTTGATCATAATAAGTTGCTGTAATGCTATGTATCTTCCTTTTTATCCATTCAAATCCAATACAGGTTGATCCCAGTGCCAATTGTGTGAACTGCAAATAATAATAAGAATAATTATTATTATTATTATTATTTACCTGGCAATCCTTAGGTCTTGATATTAAGTTTTTGTTCATATGTGAGGAGTCAATACCATCCTTCATTTTAACACATGGCGTATTGCCATCAGATCATTCAATCAACTTTATAGCTGATGAGACCTAAATGTGTGTCAAATTGTACCATCAGTAATTTTACAGTTTAATATATATAATGTATATACATGTATATATATAATGTTGTATATAAACCAGAGAATAATAGTAGTTGATATATATATATATATATATATATATATATATATATATATATATATATATATATATATATATATATATATACAGATGAAATAATGTTATATATAAAAAAGAAGAGAATAATAGTGGTTGATATATATGCAGATTAAATGAGGTGTTCCTCATCGACAGCCAACCATGCAACACTATTCCCAACTGTCCCACTACCGCCCTCCACCCTCTTCACCTCTATTACTCCGCTCCTTTGTTCGGTTGTTGTCGCGATCGCCATCGCCCACGCCCACGCTCGCGCCCACGCCTTCCAAATGCGGCCGCGATCAAACCGAGGCTCTCTTCCTCCTCCTCCATAGCCTCTTCTTCTTCTTCTTCTTCTTCATCACCTAATCGAATCCCTTCCCTCCTCTTGTTCGATCGATGGCTCCGATCGCGTTGAAGAAATCTGCCAGCTCCGCCCTGGGCCTGACCCGTGGGAGCGCCCCGGATGCCCGTGGCCTCGTCCGGGACGCCGTTCGGGCCACTCTCGCCTCGCCCCCGCTCGGATCCCACCCCCCTCTGCCGCAGCGGCAGGCGGATTGGGTTCAGGCGGAGATCAGGTTCGGACCGCCTGTGGGCGGGCTCGCCCTCGATGCGGCGCCCGCGCCCAGGGTCCTCTGCTGCGAGGAGATCGACGGGCGGAGGTGGAGCTACGTGGTGGACGATGGTGGTCACCCGCGCAGGGGCTCGGCCGTCCGGGCCGTGCCGATGCAGAGCCCGATGGCTCCCTTGGAGGTGAGATGTATATCAGTTGCTTCTGGATCGTGTAATTGGAATATCCGAAGAAGTTATTGCCTCCTTTTTCTCCTCTTACTTGTTTGATCCAGGACGGTGCTCAATTTTCTTTGCGATTTAATCGTTTAACGGGTAAAAAATGTATCTTTTTTCTTTTTTGTACTTCATTCTTCCCAATCGCATGAATTATTTTTTTTCCTATCTTCCCTGAGATGCCTGCAGCGACATAGAAAAAACATCGGTTTTAGATTGTTGAGGAGGAAGTTTTGTCTCCTTCATGTTACGGTTGCTTTTTGTTGCACCGTACAGAACAAATAGTTTGGACTGAGTAGATTAAGCAAGAGGAGAGATGGTAATTAACATGATGCCATCAAGACATTGTTGCTGAAATTGATGCGGAACATGAATAATATATTGGAAAATTATAGTACAATTCAGATATATAAGCCTAAGAAGGGTGACCGACAGGAGTGTCCTGTAAAATGAGAAAGGATATTCATTAGGATCACATATTGGTATATTTAAGTTTGATCTTCACATGCGGTGTCTTATTTCACAAATGCCCCTTGTTTGCCAAAAAGAAGGTGAATGTTTGAGGTTATTAAGATCTGTCATCTTTTTCATTCCAGTTTCGATTTGTGTATTCCCAGTTTGTAAATTCTTTTAGGACGCTGGAAAGGAAAGCATTTACAAACTTAAATTTCCATATGTTCTGTAATGTGATATTGCATGTAATATTATCCATTAATTCATGGGAAAACTCTGGGTTGTGCAGTGTTTGCATAGGATATCTGTCGCACCTATCAGGAAAATGAATGCTTGTTTATATTTTCTTGTAGAAATTTAAGCAAAGACAAAGTTCTTGGTCATCCCTGCATCATGAGTTTACATTTTGGTGCAGGAATTGATGTCATTTGTAAGATCTTATGTAGTGCCTGAAGGCTTTCCCGATAGTGTTACCCCTTCATATGTTCCATACATGACTTGGAGAGCTCTGAAGGTACCTTTTTTGTCTGAAACATTCTGAAATGAATATTTTTTTCTATACGTGTCTCAAAATTATTTAGAAGGATTCATTTTGAATCTTTTTTTATTTTTCTTGAGCCCCTTGTTACTAATGATTGACATTATTTATTAGTATTTCTTTGGTGGAGCCATGGGTGTTTTCACGACACGGACACTATTGAGCTCCGTTGGAGTATCCAAAAATAGAGCAATATCAGGTGCCGTTGCCATTAATTGGATACTCAAGGTAAAAAAATCTGCGTCTTCTGGCATAACAATAATAGCTAACATTATGTGTTTTTAACACAGAAGTTTGGATTTCAGCGACAGTATTTTAGATATCCACTTTACCTCAATTGTGCAAGTGAAAATGGTTAATGCTGCATGTATAGCTTATGGTCATTATCCACTTTAAATGCAATGATATGGATATAATATAGGTTATGCGTATTTTCCTAATGAAAGTGCCTTGCACCCATTTATTACGTTTTTTGTCTCAACGGTCCTAAAAAATAATAGCTTCTATTGGCCCTTGCCAGATCTATTTGATCAGGTGTAGACCACCATGTACAATGCAATTTTGCAGGCTTATTTGTTGCATCCATTTTGAATTTGGTAAAGCGCACACCATGTTAGTTGTTTCCCAGGCTGTGTAAATAGATTTTTGCTAACAGGTTTATATTGATATCAATGAACATTTCATTTCCTATGAGCAGTTTCGTAGCAACTGATCCATGGTGCTTTTTCCATTACTTCTGATTTTTATGTATGTACGTGAAATTCTTTTAGTTTTATCATTTGATCTTTCACTGCATAAACATATGAATTAACTCATCTTCTCTGCAGAAGATATTTGTTAAAAGTAATTGTTCATTAAACAACTTCTTATTATGAATTTTCTTTTAAATAACTGTTGAGGTAAGATCCAATTCTAATGACATCTGTTGCTCAAATACTGAAGCTTGACCTTTACTTTTTGGGACTAATCAACTCGTAGATGTTTTCCTCCCACATCTGGCTTTCCCGTTCTGGAATTCACTGGCTTTACCTATTGACATGTTGTGATCTTGACTTAATTTTTTTTAGAGTTTCCTGATCTTATAGTCAACCTGGTGAAAGCAACTACTTTTTAGATAGCTGTCATCGCAATCAAGCTATAATAAAGTTACTTCAGTTGATGTTACTGGTAGCTGATCCTTTCACATGCATGTAGCTGTTCCATTTGATAGAATACTTATGAATTTTAAACCATAACCATTGCACTTATATTTAGATACTTACGAAGCAAAAAACCATACTCTTCATTGCTTGATTAGTGGCATGAATCTCTCTCTCTCTCCCCCCTCTTCTCTAGAGAAGATCATAGGCATGTTTCTTACTCTTATTATCCTGTAATTTCTGTCAGTTCTATTTTTTTAATTGATTTTCATTTAGACTGTTTTAAATTTTTAACCACATTCAGTATTATTCAGGATGGTGCTGGACGCATTGGCAAAATGCTCTTTGCATGACAAGGAAAGAAGTTTGACTATGATCTAAAGCAGGTAAGCTCTTGTGCTCTTGTAATTTAATTTTAATGGAGATACAGATATTTGCCAGTGATTGACAGATACAGATACCAGTGATTGATGATTGATATTTGCCGCAGCTTCGCTTTGCGGGTGATCTTTTAATGGAGTTAGGTGCTGGGGTAGAATTAGCAACTGCTGCTGTTCCACACCTTTTCTTGCCATTGGCTTGTGCAGCTAACGTGGTGAAGGTTGAAGAAACAAATTCATGTCCTCAGTTTCTGGCTTCTACCTGGGGATGTTCATGACATATGATGTCTCCAATTTTTGTCCTTTACAGAATGTTGCTGCTGTGACATCAACATCGACACGCACTCCAATCTACAAGGCCTATGCCAAAGGTGAAAATATTGGAGATGTAACTGCTAAAGGAGAATCTGTTGGTAATATGGCTGATCTGGTATGTTATTCGAGGATATGCTCACTTACCTGGCACAAGCAATTCTATATGAATAAATGCAGCTATCATTTCTAGTATCGTCTTACTTGTCTTTCACTTTTTAAGTTATAGAAAGCATTTTCTCAAGACTCAACTGAATCTTTCAAGCTGTTAGCAAAATTGTCATTTAGTAGGGAGAGAGAAGGTGAAAAACAATGTAGTTACCTAAGAAACATTTTAGCTTCATAAATATTAGAAATAAAATTGTTATATTCTCAATCTAAATTGCAGAATTAGGGAAGAAACAATGGTGACTATTTAAATCAAAACTCATTTGGTATTTGCTGAGAGACTACATGATAGGCATATCCTGATATTTGACAAGCTTTATATTTTTATGTTTATTAATTATTAAAGATATCTGCAGCTTCAACATAATGACAACAGATGACAAGTAAGCATGCCAGCTTACATAATTTAGTTAATGAAAAAGGTCTCACTTTATAAAGAATGAAGGTCGCAAAGCAAGAAAAATAGTGAAACCTATGTCTATCAACCATTCTCGAATGATCCTCTCAATGATAACAATGCTTTAATACAAGTAAATCTTTTTATCATTTTCAGGTAGACAATTATAAAGAAAAAATATCATAAATTTCTGATAAGTACCAGAAAGATCCTTAAAAGTATCTACTTTTTCATTTTGTGAGAAAAGGAGATATCTAACTATTACAGATACTTTAAAAAGGTACAGATTCTTCAAAATGGTGATACTAATTATACTGTCTCACTGATGTGGATCAGCATGGAATTTATGTCATCTGGCATTGGATTTTCTCTCATATGCAAACACAGTACTGGCACACTTTCAAGATGGCATAAAACAACATGCTGACACCAAGATGATATTCTAGTTACCAGCTAGCCAAAATCGACATGAATCACCAATGAAATCCATGGCCTGGTGGCACTTCTAAGAATTCCCTCAATTACAAGGCTTTTTTGACCTTGCTACCATCCGAGTGGTTTATCAATTCACCTATTAAAAAGGAAACTAATGAGGTGGGAAAGACATTACCTGGCTTGAATTATAAAAGCCTTGTGCAGAAGCAACTTCTCTCAAATATATGAAACCCTGAAAATAAAACTGTGACAAGTGGACAAGTATCTTGCCTCAAGAATAAGGTGGACAGATCACAGACAAGGTCACAGACATTCTATAATGGTTTAGTTTATCAACGATATTGAGATACTTAAGGCATGGAGATTACATAGTGCTGGTAAACATGGATAGTTGGGAATCACTTTAACATTCATTTCCAGAATCTAATTAGGGGTTGCTGTGATGATCCTTAAATTTTATTTTATTTCCAGCACCTTGTTCAATTTGTTTGTTCAGGATTCTCCTAATGAAGTTTTGTGTCTCTTGACAAGCTTACCCTACTTTGAATCTCACTGGGGTTGTGGTATATCTGTGTGCCAAACCAGAGATTGATTAGTACCCTAATATAAGGTCCCTGAACCAGAACGGATGGTAGTTGATAGTCCACATATTGGTTTTGGACCAGACCCGGTCTGTCTGGTATTTAAAACATAGGTGCCAAGCATCTCAGCTGGACCTTTTTTAATATTTTACTGTTCAATGTTGTGAATTTCGCTAATTCTTGCATGTTATAAGTGCATCTCCAGTTTCTAACTTTGCTGCTATAAGACATTTAACTCAATCTTAAAAGCTAGATATTTTGGATAATTAAAATGTCAAACTATCCTTTGCTTGCGGACTCTTCAACCTATGTTACTATCAATAACGGGAATTGATTTCTACAAATGAGAGAGAGAGGCATGTAGATCTTTTTCAGAGGAATAGTGTTTTCTTAAGATTGCACATAATACTTCATTTGGTTTATACACCGTTTTTGATGTTTTATTAAGCATTGTGATAAAAATGCATTATAAACTACTATGACCATATATATTTCGCATTATTTTCAGTTGGGAACTGGACTCTGCATCTTGATTTCAAAAAGGAACCCATCTTTGGTGGCCTCATTTGCATTCTTGTCATGTGGATATGTTTTTAGTGCATATCAAGAGGTCAGTATCGGTTAGCCTTTACTGTTTACATATGTTGCTTTTCTAACTAAGAGTTATCTCTGACACATGCTTAATGTAATCTTTTATCCATCTTAACAGGTGAAATCCATTGTATTAAATACATTAAACAGAGCAAGATTCACTGTTGCAGTGGATTCCTTCATCAAGACTGGTAGGTCAAACAAGTCTTCTAAAATATAATTGAATTTCTGTCACCATTATAAAGGATTTAACATGTGATGTGGTAGTTTGGCGTGGTTTACAAATTTTGAAGTTTGGCCAGTAAAAGAGAAAGTAAGAACAAGAATGGAAACTAGGAGGAAGAAAGGGTGACACATATATACAAGCACATAATGAACATAATAGTAGGAGCAGTCCGAACAGATGGAGCTCCTATCAATGCAGGGTCAAGAGAGGATCAATATGATCAGCTTTATATATGTTGTTGGTAATAAATATTAGATTAATATTAATGACAATGATGATAGGAATACAAAGAATAATAGTAATTAGAAAAAATGAACCATAACCCTCATTGTGTCGCCACACATTCTGCTTATGTGGACTGCATATTTAATCACATTTTATGTCATGTTAAACATGTAGAGCTATCTCGAATAGTGTGGCTTCATATATTATGTGAGGTTGTAACCTAACTGCATTTATTTATGTGGTTAAGCATGCGGCCACATTTCACTGCACAATAGAATGTTGCCAAACAATAATTAGACATTAGGCTAACCATGTCATTCATAATAATCAGAAATACTTATTTGTTATGTTCTTTGTTACAATTCTGTATCAGTTTGAACTGCTTTTCTAAACATATGTTTGTACTAAATAAATCAAGCTGAGTACCCTCTCATAGTCTTCATTTGTCAGTCTACAAGCTTAACTAATATTTTGCTATATGATAAAAGCCTTGCTAGTGATTTGGTTCTAAAATTATAATTTTTTAACCTCAACTTAATGTTCGATTCTTGCAATTTTCTAGGGCATGTTCCATCACTTAAGGAAGGAAATTCTAAGGAAAATATTTTTCGTCCTCCATGGTCGAAACATACATCAGTTGTTCTAGGTATGCAACCACTGGGTTGTTTGACTTCTATCCATCTTTCAGAAGTCTAAACTTTTATATTTACTTCTGCATGCTGGCATTTTAGGCCCAAGATTTTGTGATGCATTCCAGGAGCCAACTTCATTTATTGCCATAGAGCACTTGTTTGAGGTAGTATTTTTACCTTTTGCTCTTGGTATTTGTTTGTTGCAATGTACTTCATGTAAATGTTTATGATTGTTCTACATGCATGCTTCAGTTTGCTACATATTTTATCAAGTTTTTGAAATCAACACTAGTGTCATGAATTTTCTTTCCCACATTTTTTTTCAGCCAAGTTGCATTATTTGTTCTTTTCTTTATACACTGTGTAACTACAGAAGGAAAGATACATGGTGTCCTACAACCCTTCAAAGGACAAAATATATGCATTACTGAAGGATCAAGCAAAATCAGATGATATATTGAAAGCAGCTTTTCATGTGAGTATGGGCTATTGATGGTGGATTAGCCAGAAACACCTGCTTGTTTAATATTGTGTCTTCATGACAGGCTCATGTTCTTCTTTATTTCATCCAATTGTCAAACACAAATCAAGCTTTGAAAAAGCTGAGGAATTCTAACCAATCAAAATATGAAGAGGCCATACTTCCTACAAATGCCAACTTCCTTGCTCATATGGTGGAGTCTTGCAAGATTGTTTCATCATCATATGCGATATTCAAGAGGAAAGCAGCGGAACAGGTGATGCATGGAAGACTTGCTACTTCATGGTAGCTTAGGTGCACTCATTTTTTCGGGATGTTCTACTCTAGACACTGCTATGACCTTTCTGCTTAAACACGCATTTGATTATATTCAATCTAAACCTAGCTGGACATAGTAGCAATTTATAATCATAATTTAATTCTGTAAGATTGGATAATATTTATGTACAGTGATTGGGTCCTCACTTTAGATTATCTTAGACAAGGATTAAATCTCAGTCTAGTACGGATACCTGTTGTCAATTGGATTCATATATACTAGTACCATACAGTAGTACACCGAGTGCTGACACAGGATATTGCTGGTTGGAACCAAGCAGAGAGGCAAGAGAGAGAAGATGTTGTTGGAGAATATATTGTCGCTTGGGCGGGTGACAAAGGAGGCGAGGATGCTGCTACAGAATTGACCAATGCCAAAACCCACAATCCTGTCAGTGGAGATGACATTAGGAGGGGACAAGAGGTGGCGGAGAGTGGAGGATGCTGAGCTCAAGCGGAACTCAACTGTAGGCATTGCTAGTTGAGTAAGACATGAGTGAGAAAGACAATGCCCTTGGCACTGCAGTCAAGACAGAAGCGAGAAGTCAAAGGTGACATGGAGGCAAAGGAGGTGGAGGCTGGAGTGGCAGAGGAGGGGAGAGAGAAGGAGAGTACAACATTATTCAACTGCATAAGCTGGAACCATCTGCATTGGTTTTGCTAGACAGTACAACAATATTGGGCTGCATCATCTGCAATCGTCTTGTTGGTTGACCATTAGACTAGTAAACACCGACCTATATACAACTGGCTTGTAGAACCTTGGTCTTCACTTTAAAAGATGAATTGTGTAATCACAATATCAAAGTACTTACGATAGTCCATTGTCAGATCAAAGAAAAAGAAACTAAGCAATTTTGAATATTTTGAAAGGACATCAGAATTACCCATAGTCATTATCAGGATATTGATGGTGTTCACTTCAATCGATTTTTATATATACCTCTGTTATGGTATATTCATTCTCTTAATTGTTTTTTTTCCAATGGGAATATGGAATACATGTTATGCAGGGGTGATGACAAATTCCTCTGATATTTCACTGCATATTCAAAAGGACTCCGCAAGTCCAGTGTCTCTTATCCTAATTTCTGGTGTATGAGTGTGGGTGGTTGCCGTAAAATGCAACATTTATTCGGAGCTGAGAGACCACAAAAGATATTATGGCCAATCCCAAACATTTTGAATTAGGCATGTAGCTTTATTGTTGCACTTCAGTGTTGGTATGCTATATGACTAATGCATCAGAGATGTCCATAAGTGACAATTTTATGAAGATGTACAAAGCCATGAGGATGAAAACTCTGATATCCCTGTTAACATGTTTCTGCATTTGTTATGTAGGAAATAAATGTATGGCAATGAACTGACCAGCATTCATGCCTTTCATAATTCATAACGTTTCTGCATTCATCTGAACAAACTTTATTGAGAACCGAGCGTGAGCATAGGTTTTTGTTACTTTTTGCAGGGATGGATAATGTCGGAGTCATTGCTGAACCCTGGCAGAGCTAGGCTATTTAGTGCTGTTCATAGTTAAGATTGCATTGATCTCAGAACTTCGGCAGACGCGTCACTTCACGGACTGTTCATAGTTAAGATTGTGCACTGAGAACTTGATGGTCGAATTATTGCTTCATATCACATCATGAGAAGACGGTGGATTGCCACGTTCAAGCAGTTAACACTTCATGCAATTGCAGGGTATACAATTCTTCCATCTATTGCAGGGTATGCAATTGCAGTTAACACTTCATGAGATGGCTCATTATGGTGATGGGACTTTATGTTTCACTGGCTCTTTGATATGCTGCTTTTTGCAAGTTATAAAGCCCGACTATATCTGAAGCAATTTTGATCTTCTGAAGTCGCAAGCTTCTCATTCTTCTATGCGATATAGATGGGTAGTCTTTTCTTTGCAGATTTGTGGGCCTTTTTCTTTGCCGGTTGATGTACCTTTTTTCTCATCTTAATGTTGTAAATTTCTTTGTATCATTATTCAGGAATATTTTGTTGTAACATAGTAGGTTTGAGGTTCAAGATGATGGAAAAACGGTTCCGAGGCTAAGCGATGGGTTCAATTGAAGGTTTTACAACAACATAAAATGTTTTTTGTAGGAAGATAATTTTGTAGATCCGTTTGTATTATATTTGGTCGAAATATGGTTGGTCATTTTTAGCTGCATGAATCTTTATTCTCCTCCTATATATTTGATTTTGTTATTCCTGTGTCTTGACGATGTGTAAACAAATGTCAAAATCTTCCAAGCAGAGTTATCTGTCATGGAGTTATTTTGGCATTAACATGCATAGTTTTAGGGAGACGCATATCCTGTATCGTCTGTTTAGAATCGGTTCATTTCAGCTTATGCCTGCACAAACTAAACAGCTGTCAGCACAGATGTAGACATTTAATGGGGTTAATTACATATTATCTATAATATTGTAGTTAGATCTTTTTATTATCTTGATTTTTTATATTTAAAAATTTTATATTAAAAATTTTATAGTGATGAAGTGAAATATTTAATCTTATTTATCTTAATATCGTCGGTTTTACTGGCGAAAGATATAGTACATGCATAAATAACATAAAAATGATAGATAAAAAGATAATTTTAATGGTAATGACGAATGATGATATCGTGGGCGATTATTATGATGGTAGCCGGTGACAATGATGCAATGATCGGTCTTGTCGATATCAATCTGAACATTGATGACGAGAAGGAATATGAGACAGAGCAGTGAGACGTTTGCGTCGACGCCATAGGAGGAAGAGGGGGGAGGTGAGGCGTTTGTGTTAGCGTTGCATTGCTCTGCCTCCTCTTCCTCCTCCGGAGCCGCTCTACATTTACGTTAGTGCTAGAGGAGGAAGATGAGGCAAGTGAGACTGAGCAGATATGACCAATCGATCTTGAAACCCTAGCCAAAATGGTGATTCCTAATCCGAAGGCTAACCGTAATGCGTCGTTTCTTCGTCGTCTCGCTTGTCGTATTTGTAGCGCATCTTTCTGATACTCTCCCCCACTACCACAGCGCCGTAGGTGAGTGGGAAGGAGGATGAGGGTTTGTTGTCTCTTCCACTATCAGATTTGTACTATTCGAGCCTCCATTTTGTGGGACGATCAATCCTCGTCGTTTGATTAGATCTCCTCCGGTCGCAGGTGAAGATGATCCAAAAGCAAGTTGCGACCATGTCGTTGTGGTTGGGGCATACGCATCGTTCACACCGGCTAAAGCTTAAGAGCTCGAAACAAGTGTGCCTCTTCGTCAAGTTCTCTCGCAACCTCTCCCTCCTTATCGCCCATCGCCCCTTCCTCGAATCCGTCGGGCTACTGGATAAAGCTCCTATCCGAGGATTTGAGCATGACACTGACGCAAATGCCTCACTTGCCACCTCTTCCTCCTTCGACATTGTATTGTTCTGCCTCACTAGCCTCCTCGTCATCCTCCCTCCTCGTTGTGAGCAACACAAATGCCTCTCTTGCCTTCTCTTCCTCTTCCGTCATCGACGCAGATGTAGAGCGATGCCAAAGGAGGAAGAGGAGGTACAGCGATGCGACGTCAACGCAAATGTCTCACCTCTCTCCTCTTTCTCCTCCGACATCAATGTAGATGCCTCGTCGCTCTGCCTCCTCCTCCTCGTCATGACATCAACAAAACCAACTATCACGTTGTTATCGTCGACTATTACCACAACAACCACTCACGATGCCACCATCCACCACAACATTTGATATTATCTTTTTTATTATCGTTTTCGTGCCATCATGCACATACTGTTATATGCTTTATTTTTGGTTAATAAAACCAACGATATTAAGGTAAATAAAATTAAATATTTCATCTTTTAATATAAATTTTTTAGTCTAAAGATAATCTAACCCATACTGACCCAGTTCAAGAATAACCTCGTGAAAATAAAAGATTCCAAATTAATCACTAACTAAGACAAATAGAAACTAATTAATATATTATAACACAAGTGATAGGTATGTGTGAATAGGATATTATGTTCGAGTTTACGTGTAAAAGTCACACACTTCTTTCAATTTAAAAAAATAAATCTTCTTTCAATTTAAAAAAACAAATGGAACTCTCACACTTCTTTCAGTTTTTTAAAAAAAAAAATCTAACTCTCACGAGATCCTTTTTCATCTAATTTTTCACCTTGCAACCACCAACACGATTGCGTATGATCAATCAATCGCAACCAAGGCGGCAAAAAAATGATCCGCCAACCCATCTGGTGTCAGAAATCAGAAGAAATCATCAGTCGTGAAAGCCTCACTAAAACAAACACATCCTAATATAGTTTTCCTTCTAAAACAACACTTGGTCAAATCCGAGAGTCCCTACCTTACGTGACCAAGTTACATGTTGCAAATGGAGGTTGATCTAACACACAACAAGCCCTCGTGCAAATGGACACAGACAGCACCAATTAACTACAATCTGAACAAGGACACAGAAACAAAGTCTACAACCTACTTGCATGTCTGCTGTTTGCAAGGAACTGTTCTGGCGTAATGAAGAACTAGTAACACTTCTTGCTTCATACTCTGGCCCTCTTACTGGTGCTGCAACTGGGACACTTGTACTGCTTTATGTGCTCGGCTCGGGCAGGTGTGATCTTGACGCACTTTCCATGAAACCACTTTTCACATACGTCACAGCATATCCAGAACTCGTCGTTAGCATAATTGTCACCGCATGCACCGCATAAAGTGTTCTCGTGGTCCTCTTCATCTTCTTCGTCCTCTGCACCACTATCCTCATCTTCTTTTGGAGGCATCTTTGAAACCTTGGCCTGGGGCTCGGCCGGTCTGGACTGCTGAACCCACGTAGGAAAGTAACAATTAAGAATAAATGGATAAATTAAAAAGCAATGGAAGGATATAACATGAGAACTTACCGTCTTGGAGTTCGACTTGTTCTTGCTGTTGCTATTCGAGGTCTTTTCCTTGGACTGTTTCGTGGTTGTTCCAGTTACAACTTCATATATGGTAGGGAGATTGTTAATCATATTGAAAAGTCGCCTCCTGTAATAGTCACAACATCAAGGATAACTGATATGAATTTCCTAATCAGGGAAACTTCTAAAATCCAGAAATACAAGAAAAATAAAGACATTCAAAACTTTAACACCATAGCAATTAACAGTAACAACTCCAAAAACAAGTGACAACAAAAAAAAAAGAAAGCTTAGTACCTAACAGAAGCATCTGCTTAGGTATCACCATAGCAATATGTATGTATACATATGCATACATACATACATATGTATATATATGCACATTGTTGATTCCAATGACTATACGAGTATTCTAAATTTAAAATACTTGATAGAAACTGTTAGCTTCAAGAAGACAGTAATAACTCCATTCACAGAAAGCAAGTATTAGCCATTAAAGCTCTTTGCCAAAATCGAGTTTATTCTTACAGCACTTATTGTTTGCAAAAGAGGTCAGGTAAAGATAGCATATCTGATCAAGATTTGGAAATTATTGCATGTACATGCCTTCACTACATAACAAAATAAAGGAAATAAAAATAAAGCTCTCATCATGACTATCAATAACAGCCACTTGAGGCAAGTTTTGCAGCAAGTCAATAGTGACTTATAAGCACTTAAGTCAACATAAAGAAAATAAATAACAGAAGAACTGACCTCTGTATGTGGATCTTTCTTTTTCAAAGTATTATTCCTCCTTGCCAGCATTTATTGAATTTGAGAAGAAAAGTTAAAAATTGGATAATATTAACTAGTAGTATCAAAATTGTTAGTACTTCAAGGGTCTATTTCATGCTACAGGGATATGCAAACTAATAAATCTCCTTGTCAGTCTTAAGAGACTGATAAGTTCACTAATGTGGGAATGAAGACATGGATGGATGGCTTCTCATCGAATAAAGCACAACGCTAAAGCAAATTAGTCATCAATCTCTCTATCCAAGGTTCTTAATTTCGGTCCGTACCGATGTACCAAACCCTGCTCGGTACGGTGGTACGCATCGAGGCATACCGATGGTATGCTGAGGTGTACCAGCGATATGCCCAAAAAGAGCTGAAAAACCTCCAAAAATACTTGGAGGTAACAGTCCAACAATACCGAGATGTACCGATCGATATGCCTCGATAACGATCAAAATTCGCAACGTACTAACCAATACACCTTGATAATGGTCGAAATCCGAGACATATCAACTGGTACACCTCGGTATCGATCGGATTTCGACCATTACCGTCGGGTACAAACCTCGTATCACTCGATACAGGGTCAAAACGCTAGTGCCGCCCGGTAGAGGGTGGTCCGCGTATCGATATCCTCTTGGACCAATACGTACCACCCATACCAAGCAGTACACATCGAAATTGAGAACCCTGTCTCTATCTCAATGGTCCAAAAAGAAGCTTTTGGAGGGATTTAGCTAATACCTAAGATCACACTACACAAAATTGCACAAAATGAAACTACACAATGAACCAACCAACCTTATAAGTTTGCCACATATAATAGATTTAGACTAATTAGCATAACCATCACCATGAGCAACAAACTCATGATATACGAGATGGTTAACTAGCATTTAGAAGATAAAAATATTAGTTGCAAAGTTTATAAATCAGAATAAGACAAACTACAGGGTAGATTCTTGGAACATATACAACATATGACTGTTTTTGGCCAAATTGTAAAGAAAATTTTATTACATTTAATAATATGAAACAAATGCAGTTTCTAATGAGTTATAGTGATATTGTGAACAGTAAACAATTATTATAAGAATATTAAGGAAGAGAAAGAACATTAACCACAGGAAAAAAATCCTGGATGTCATACAAATTCAAGCAAAACATGAACATAACTATAAACAATAGTTTTCAAGGGCCTCACTTAATGGTTCCCATAGTCTTTAAGGATGCATTTGTATTGACATTGAAGTAACTAGCTTGTATTATTCTAGCCCAGCTTTCTAACATTAACCCTGTTTCTGGTTTGGTGACCTAAATGGCATATTAGCTGGATTAACAAAAAAATGTGACTCTTTTAAGCCACAATTTACTGGGTTGTATTATCCCACATCATCCAAATTAAACTCCTTTGACTGGATTACTAAGACGAGCAGTTGCCAGTTAAACCAATACCCACAATCTTCACTTTCCATATCCCCAAAACAAACA